TATAAACGCGAACGACGTCCAGCGTATCAGACGTGGCGCATCCCGAGTGCATAGAGACGCGGCCGCATAAAAGTATACACGGATACGTCGTTGAGGGCGACGGCGACATTTTGGCTGGACGCGAACATGCGCGCCGCGCCCGGACAAAGCTGGATATTAGAGAAGGCATTACGCGAATTAAATTCTCGCAGCACGTACGTGCGGATCCTTTATGGACCCAACGCGTCTCACGGATATGAAAGGAAATGCATTATCAATCGTCGTGCTTTTAACAATTTTTACGTTCTTCTTTTTAGTTACAGCTGAAGATAATCTTTATGAGTTACGAGTTTGCAGGGGAGAAAGTAGGAATATGGACCACTTTATTGTTTTATCCAAAAAATTCAATATTAAATGCAATAACTGCATCGATAACTGTCAGAGGTATTAGCAAATATACTTCTTGTATTGTAATTATTAGAAAAAAGAATGAATTGTTGAAGAATACATTTTTTTCAACATGTGTAAAAAGTGGAATATTGACAAATGGAGTGGTAATATGAAACAGGCACGAAAATATAAAAGAAGTTTACTTTTTATTATTAAGTTGTTGATGTTAAAACAATTGTTTTTTGTTGAATTACTTTGAATGAAAACCATTATTTAAATAAATAAGATAAAAAATGTCTATAAAATAAAATGAAAAAAAGATTTTTTTCTTATGAAAATGAAGAAAAAAAACTCAATAGTTCAAATTGTGTAGCAGTCCTTTAGACTTGTAAACAGAAGTCGCAAATAAAAACATTACTTATACACCTATTACATAAGACATAATAATATAGAACATGTTGTTCGCTATTATTTAAACGAATTAACAAATTTTAAAGTAGAAAAAATATTAGCTTAACCAAATTACTAATTTTCTGCGATTTTGAAGTTTAATCTTATTACTAATCGATACTCTATAAATAATATGTTAAAATTTACCGATTAAGACAGGAAAAAAACTTTTTTGAATCTTACCTTGGGAAAAGTTTTAATATGAAAAAATCAAATCAGTTTCTTTTAACTATAAACAACAATCACGCCAAACCCTTTCAGTGACTGAAAGGATTAATGTTTATTATGTTTATTCCAGTTATGTTGGTGATGTTTAATCCGACAGGTTGCATCTTTATTTAAGAAATCAGTTTAAATTTTGAAAAATTTAAGAAATTTAAGAAATTTAAGAAAGAACATTGTGTTTAAGAAATCGTTTTACTTACTATCCTGTTCTACATTGGCACCTTCTCTCCTACTAGCATTTAGTTGTCGATATTGCTTGAATTTTTGCATCATTCTGACTCGAAGTTCGATTTAAAACTTGTCCACGACTCCTCAGGGAATCTCTCTCCGCTACGTTGTACTGTAAGAAATAGTCCTACCGAGAACATGTGCGCGACCGTCTTTTCGTTTGCTTTCAACCGTAACTCTCGTACTCACTCATACAGCGTGAACGTCCCTTGATCGAAAATCCGCATGAATTCGCTATCGTAACTTTTTACGAGAATTCTCGTAGATCGCTACGGATTCCGGTGCAACGACTCGAGGAAATCCTTAGTTTGCGTTTTCAATCCAACCTTGCGGAGAGAGCACACGGTTTCAAATATTCCTGCGTGCAAAGCGACTCGAATGTGTGTATACAACACATGCGTGACGTTTGCGACTGCTTCTCGCTCTTTTGTTTCATGTTATCGCGTCTTGAGACGTTACTTCTAGGCTATGGGCGAATTTTTGCACGCAAGAGTATCGAGAGGATCATATTTACCTGAGTTGAAATTTTCATCCTACATCAGTCCTACAAATTCCATCAAATTTGAAGAATTAATGAAGAATCTTGAGATGTCCTGAGTCAAATATTTTAAATTTCACGTTAAGCTTGCAAATATTGTCAAGTTTGTCGGTGGAAAATCTCGAGATATAGTGTTTGTTTTACGCTCTTTTGATGTTATAACGCGTAACTTATTACCGTTTTATCCATGTGGAAACTTAAAGATGGTTTTGCTGAGAACGTTTACTCAAGTCGCGAAATTTTGATTCTACATTAACGCTGCAAATTCTGTCAAACTTGAAGAGTTAATGAAGAATCTTCAGATGTACCAGCTATTGGCTTACTTTGATGCTGTAGATGGTTGTTTACTGCCGCGTTTTTCCATGTTGAAGAAACTCGAAGAAACGCTCCTTCAAGAATTATTTAATATTCGAACTTTTTCTCTTAGATTATTTTTATTATTTTTTAATTATTTAACAACCGCTTAAAATTAATTTTATTAACTATTTAATATAACAAGGCTAGTAGCCGCTAAGCATTATATTATATTTAACGCAAAATATTTCGTTGTCACTTGAAATATTTAATGGGATTCTCGGTGACATCGCGTTAATTAACACTTGTTTCTTTTGATCACATTGTATCTGCACGAGTGCCAGTTCAACAAGCTAATATCCATAGTGCTATAATGATGTAACGGGTAGCAGAATATTGCATCCAAGAGCCAAGAGGAAAGTGGCAGGACAACGATGCATCATATTTATTTCCAGATGTACAGAGATGTATATTTCATAAATATACATTTCCAACGATAATGAAAAAAATAAATAAATAACGAGGAAATTTTGAAAAAGGGAAATTTGTTATCTTACTCATCCATCAATTACATCTGCTCACTAATATTTATTAAATTGTTTAATAGTTACTTATTAGAGATAGTCTATCAGTAGTACAGAGTAAGTCATAATTAATACATTGCTTATATAAAGTTAAAAATAAAGACAAATAGGTCTTTTATTAAAAAAGGACAATTCAAAATAGAAAAAATGATGCGAAATAACCATCTAATGTAGGACAAAGCTTAAATAGTGTTCTCCAAATTTGATGGAATTTGCGAGGTTAATGTGGAATCAAAATTTCGACTCAGGTGAAGCCAAATTTGATTCAGTCCTTCCGCTCTGCTCTTAGAGCGACATATCGCCGCGTTTCATTTTGCGAGTGATTTCTTTATTTTCATTAGATATCTCGCAACGAAGCTCACGCAATCGCGACGTTTATTGCCACGGTGTGTTCAATACGAAATAATTGATAGCCAGCAATGTTTTCCCCAGGACCTCTTTGGCATTCTCTATCCCGATAACTATCCTCTTAACCACTTTCCTTCCTCGTCCACTCTTTTACGACCGAGTTGCTTTATTTACACGACAAAGCTGCAACAATACATAGATTGCGTTCGCCTGACCCGATCGCCTGATCCACGCGCCTATATTCCCCTCCTAACCTCGTAATTGACCTTTTACGCTGATCACTATTTACAGCTACGTTTCGCATTACGTTGATTATTCGCATTGTATGGTAGACCCGCGACCGTTCTACAGGCGCGTGTATGGTATGGTACGCGTGATAAAGCACGATAGTGAAACGTAGGTATCTCTCTTGCGACGTATCTTCCGACGTTTTATCGACGTCGTAATTCAGGACGACGCGTCCCGCGGATATCTCGAGCCCTCGCTTCGACCGATTTACGGTCCCTGTAGTAGTACGCACCTGCATCTCGATCCTTTTCGCCCGGCGGATATTATTTTTCCGCGAAATAATGGAATCGAATAAACGGAGAATATTGGGGAGCTTATGTGAGCTTGAGATAGAATTTCGCGCGCAGAATGTAGCTGTTTGGGGGAGGAAGGGTAGTCTGGATTTTATCATTTCTTTATGAGCACGACATGCAGTAATTGCTTTTATGTCAAGTTATTATTACGAAAGATGAAGGAAGGCGGACAAATGCACGCGACAAGTGCATAAAATACCCTGGTGTTCCGCGCATATTGTAAATGAATTGATGGACAGTGTAAGGGAGTGCTGAAGTCGAACAATGACGAACTCGAACAATGTTAATGCAGAGACGATTGTCACTAACACAATTCTTTTCGTATTTCTTATACATACAGAATTTATGTATGTTGCTTTGTTTTACCATATTCAGCGGAAAACCTAACTATGCATGTGTAGAAGTCTTTCTCCAAACTTTTCCGATATTCTTAAGTTTCTGAATTCAGATGCGAAGGTACAGCAATGTTCTTCAAGATTTTCCTGTTTGGAGCATTCACACTTTCGAAACTTTTGGATTAGGCAAATATTACGCCAACTGACAGCTCTTGAGATTTTACATTAAAATTTTTTTATTTTCGTTACATATTGAGCAATGCTCCTATTTTGCACGTACTTTCGTTGCGTAAAAGCATTTGTAATTCTGTACAACCAATATGACGTAAACTTTGCAGAAAAATATCAGTATTCTATCGGTAGTTTTTAACTTCAGTACCCCTTTAAAAAACTCAATAATTATGGAACGTGACTTGAAATTGTTTTCTTGCGAGGAGCTATGCATGCTGTTAAGTTCGTTCTGTAGCGAGAAATTTGATTCTCGGCGTATTTCACTGCGAGTTTGACAGTCAGTTTTTCCAGACATATTCGGTGTTATTTTCCAAGCGTGTTGCTAGGATTCCCAATACGATTCTTCCAATCAGATAAACCGAATGTCAGCTGACGTCAGTCATATACTGACTTGTGACATTTTTGCGAAGGTTTGCAAATTGTCAAATATAATATAATTACGTTAGAAATAACATTGAATCTGCTTGGAAAATAACACTAAATGTGTCTGGAAAAACTAACTGTCAAGCTTGGAACGTAGTACGTCAAAAGTCAAATTTCTCACTACAGAACAAATTTAGTGACATGCATGGCTCCTCGCAAAAAAAAAACAAATCACGTTCCGTGAGCATTAAGCTTAAATAAATGTTGGTGAGGCTGATTTGTTACGTAGCTTTGCAGAATTTCACCGCAAGAATAAAGACGTGCCTGAAACAGATGCGAAATAATATTATATCATGTTATCTCCATGCATTTTCTGCGCGGCGTACTTCGCGAGACACTAAGATAAACACGAGACGAACGTTACGTAAAAGCGGCAGGTATTTTTTTTCCGCAGACTCGGAACAGTCACCGGCCGTATATCTCAGAGACGACCCGCTGTTTGGCACCCTTCAGTTGCAGCAGCACAGCGAGCTTCGCGCGCCAACAGCTGAACGTGCAGCTTTCTACCTCGACGCGGCGGTCGCCGGCCGTCAACGGGAGGATGGCGACGCGCATATGCTTTACACGTTGCACGTGTACCAGTACAGCGTCGCCGGCAAGGGTGGAGGTAAATGCAATCCTATCTCGAACTCCTGTGTTCTTGTTGAATGGCCGTGTTCGCTCTTCGTCCGATAATTGCAGAGGACAGCGTGGAAAAAAAGAGATTATTCCGCGGCATCTTGCGCATAACATTGATTACACGTGTAATCTACTTTCCCTGAATTTTTGTCGCGACTGGAACGAGGGTGCAATAAAGATTCTTCCTTCTCTTCGCCGTTTCGCAATTCAAACTATAACGTGTTCTTTTCTCTCTATGGCAATGAAAACGCTCTTCTTGACTGTGCAGTTGCCGGTGGTAGGAGTCGGCTTCACTTGATGGACCTGGGAAACTCGGATCGCGGCAAGTCTTCGGGCGGTATTCCCCTCTCGGGTCTGGGCAACATTCTCCTCGCGATCTTCAACGGCCAGAAGCACTTGCCGTACAAGGAACACAAGCTGACGCAACTTCTGAAGGAATGCCTAGGCTCGTTGACCTGCCACGCGGCTATGATAGCCCACGTGTCTCCCAACGCCCAACACTACACCGAGACATTGACTACCGTTCAGCTGGCCTCGAGGATCCACCGGATGCGACGCCGAAAGATCAAGTTCGTCGGCGGCGGCACGCAGGGCACCGGGAGCGGCGGCAGTTCCGGCGAGGAGGCGGCCAGGCAAAACAGCGAATGTGATCCGAGTTCGAGTGACCTGTCGGCCGACACGGTGATCTACGTCGGGCCGAGCGCGGATGACGCCACCGACGGTGAACATCCGCCTGTTTACATTCCTAGCTTGAATTCAGGTGACAACCGTTGCGCCATGGGGAGGGTGTTGCGCGGCTCCGCCGCCGAAAGACCGTGCAAGATCCCGGAGGAACGTAGCCCGGCGCACAAGTCTTCGAAGACGGTGAAGACATTAACGCAGACCGCGTCGAAGCAAACCTCGCCGGCGCACAGTGTCACGCCGAAGGCCAGTCCGGCTAGGAAGAATCCCTCGTCGAAGACCGCCTCGGCGTCCAAAATATGCGACTCGCCAGGCAGCAAAATCCCCGTGGCGGCGCCTAGCGGCGGCTCCGACGAGCAGTGGATCGACGGCCCAAGGATCTCGAAGTCGAAAGTCGCGGAGGCCAGACACATGCTGAAGGATCCTCATCACAAGCGGGAGACGTGGATCGACGGGCCGATGCAGCTGACGGGCGCGCCTCCGTTGCAGCTACACACCCATCAGCACGCGTCTTCGGGCTACGGATTCATGGACAGTCACAAGAAGAGCATGATCAGGAAATGGGTGGAGAATCAGTCGTCGCAGATACAGAGGGCGAAGCACGTCGCATCGCGAGTCGAATCCTCGAAAATGTCCTCCGGCCAATCGTCCGGTCAGTTCAAGGAACTGACGACGTTCAAGACTTGCGGCGGTATGGACGACGACGACACGTCGTTGTCCACCGCGGAGAGCGACAGCCTGAAGGCGAACGAGATCGAGGACATCACTGAGAAGCTAAGCGCCAAGTTGAATCTGCTTAACGTCAAATCCAACACGGACTCGGGATTGGATCTAACGGCCAGTCCAGTGATGGACGACAGTGTTGAAAAAGCGAAGCTCGATTTACCAGACGACGAAGACGACGACGAGGAGATCGTCGTACCGCCACCGTTGCCGCTAATCGAGCCGCTCAGCAACGGAGTCAGCAGAGAAGTCTCCATGGAGAGTCTGAATCTATCACACAAAGACATTGTACTGCCTTCCAGGCACTCGCTGTCCTCCGAAGACGAGATCCTGGAAATCGTCGAAGTGGAGGATTTAGAACCCGTGCCCATGCAGGATTCTTGTCTGCAAGTAACCGAAGAGGATATCGCGCTTTGCATGGGCGAGAATCCTTTGCCGGAGAGCGACCAGGAGGAACATCCTTTAAGGATCCTTAGCCAAGAAAATCTCACCGTGGTGTCCACCTTCACAGGTGAGTAAATCTACGTCTATATGTATATTTTTTTTTTATTCAAATAGTGCGTCGATTTTTTAATACTTGTCAATTTCTTTATGTACTTTATCTTTGGGTAAACAAATTTTTCAGGAAAAACTGGTCACCAAAAATTGATTTTACTGTTTAGGATTATTAGGCAGTAACTGTTCAAAAACTGACTAGAGGAGGTGTTAATAGAATTAGGTGTTTCTCGGTTAGTTATTGGTCAAAACTATATAGACAAGAAAAAATAATAAGTAAATTCCAGAAAGTTTCTGTACAATAAAAAAACTGTCTAAAAATTTGGCAAAAGAAGATAACAATTAAATATAAGGGGAGGGGGATAGGATATTCTAAAAATAAATAAATTTCCACGTAAAAAAAATTTTCTTCTGAAACAGAAGTTTCAAGTTATTTTTATGTTATTTATTGAATAATAAAGTATAACATTTTACAATATAACGTTGAACAATAAAAACTTTATGAAATATTATTTTACAAAAAAAATTTGGTTAGAAATTAGTCAAGAATTGGTTAGAAATTGGTCAAAAAGTAATTAGTAACAGGTTAGAAACTGTTTTACTCTTCGGTTACTAGCGAGGCAAATTTCACCCAAACTAACTAAAAACCAAAATCCCTGGCTTCAGTTACTAACTAGAAACAGCTAATATTTGGGTTAAAATCATATATTATAGTAGAATCACATATTTCGATATATTTATTATAATTCAAAATGAAAATTTGTGACCTCTTTTAATTTGCGAATGCTAATTCAATTCATAACGAAGTATTATAAGTGTTTTCGGCCAAGGTGGCAGAACAACTTTTATGAGCGTTTTTTTCTATGTTCAAGTACATTCAGTCTCTGTCTTATTGCGATAGCTTATTCAATATCGCGGGCGCTCGACGAGAGCGAACTTCCCCGCAAACTATTCTCCACATCAACACGTAGTTCGACTTTTCGGTCCTTGAGACACGTAATAGGCCATCTGGTGGAGAACAATAATTCACTTCCCTCGAAGAGAGAAAGGCCGATGTAATTACTACATGTCATTGCGTCCTTTCCTCGAACCAGAGTGGACAGCTGCCCAGTTTCGCTATTTCCCCCGTCATCTTTATCCGCCGTGCTTCTTGCGCGGCGAGATATAAACGGACGGGCGAAAAGGATGAGACAGAAAAATCATTTCCAGACTCCATGTCGGTGATGTCGGACACGGAGAGATACAGACCGCACTATCCGCCGCCGATTGGCGCGGGAGTTCTACCGAGGCCGTATTTCGACCACGAGGACTTCCTGGAGCAGGAGACCAGGCACAAGTTCGACCAGTTGGCCCGCCTCCACGAGCTCTACCAGAGCAAACTCGCGCTCGCCAATGTTTCCAACTCCGTGACTTATCAGAGGGAGAATTCCTCCACCGTCAACGTGCGAGACGCTCCATGTAAGTTTCGCCAAGCCGTCGCGGCTGGTCAGTCATACGGGGCAAAAAGAAAGGCGCGTATAGGATTATATTTACTGCCGGCGACATCGAATCCTCTCGGCGTTGCCTTTTGTGAGCTCATCAGGATTACGTCGCACTGTATATGCGAGTTCTGTAATCCATTGCTCGTGACGCTCTCGATACCGATACCGACGTGTCGCGTACGTTGAGAGGATTTTCCGCGAAATTTCAACTCACTCTCGAATTTCGATGAACGATAGTACTTTTGAAGCACACGTTTACCTCATGGCGTTGTGGTCTTGTAGATTCTCGAAAGCTAAAGTATCGAAGAATTTTACGGCATTCCAAGAAAACAAAGTGTCAATAAGGTCGTTTTGATACCAAATCTTTTGAAAACTATGTTGGGATCTGGTACTTCAAGTATTTGAAAACAAATAAACTTCTTTGACCATGCAGTGCTTTATCGTCAGAAGAGGCATTCATCGCGTCTAACTCATGTCAGATAATCTAAGAATTTCTCGGGTTTTTTCAACCTGTAAATATTGCGCTTGTCGTATGTTTATGAAGAAGAAATAAAAACAGTCAGGGCACATTTTTAACACGTAAGATGCTTATTTTTACATATCGTATAGAGAAAAACCTAGTTATAATATATACTTTTATTTCTTTTACATTGTTCTACATTAACCCTCATTTTCTCCTTTTGCCGCAAGTTCTATTAAGGTACTAAATACTAGATATGCAGAGCAAAGTATATAGGACTTAACATAAGGGTACACAATAATTGCAAATTAAAAAAGAAACCGTAGAATTCTTGAATTATCTGATACGAATTAAATATAATGAGTGCCTCCTCTGGCGATAAAGCATTGCATGATCAGAGAAAAATTATTTGTTCTGAAATACTTTAACTATCATATTAACTAGCTTAAACGATCATATCAATATAGTTTGCGAAAGATTCGGCAGAAAAACAGCCTTATTAACACTCCTCCTTTGTCATTCGCGATCTACTAAATAATTAGGAATTAAATAATTAGGGACATAAGATCGAACGATTCGTAAATTTTGATTAAGGCACAACACATTACATGCGTCTTCTACATCCAGTATGACATTAACGCAGGACAAATTCCAGCAGCGACCGTCTTCCGTCCGCCGTCTCGGTGTCAGTCCTTGTCCCTTTCGGATGTGTTATTCAACGACAACGCGAGCAATCACGGAAGCATCTACAGTGAACCCGCGTACATAGCCGGCAAGTCCGATCAGGAGAAGATCTGCGATAATTGTCGTCAGAGTATGTCCAGGCCGGCCACGGCATCTTATTGGTATCCCAGCAGTGTCGCCCACCTTGCCAGTCCCAGAAGGTACTGCGGCAAGTTGGGCGACTGCAACATCTCCAGTCTGAGGCATCCAGATGGTGCTTCGAACCCCAATCTCAAGGAGGAGATCGAGAGGATACCCGGAAACGGAGCGTCCGGCTCGGATCCCGAGGAGGAATACATAGAGGCGAAGAAGCTGTTCACTGCCGCTGAGAGATCCGAGAGAACGGTCACGGGAAAGTCCGACATCGAGGAAGATTTGAAAATTCAAGGTTGGTTTTGATCTAGTGGCATCAAATCCAAAAGCCGCTTATGTGCATGGAGAGAACATTAGTTTTTTTTTCATGTACAGAGAATAGAATAATAATTCCATTTTTAGTAATTTTTTTAATAGTACACTTATAGTTATTACTTGATTCCTTTCAAATGAGATACTCCGGTTTTAGTTGAAAGTTAGATGAAAGTTTTTCAGTTGAATCACGATTACAGATATAATGTCACATATAATCATATAACTCAACTAAAAACTTTGGATCTAACTCTGAATAAAAATTTGAATATCTTACATGAAATAAGTTTCAAGTGACAATTATTAATATAGTCTTTAAGTTCTTAAATCATAAATAGTGTCTATAAAATGGAAAAATAACAAATTAAATCAGAATTTCAAGTGTTTCTCGATTAAAAAATTCTATGGCAATATTTACTATAAAATTTTATCCATGCACGATTTTCAAATGCTTCGCGACATTTAGAGATAGCAAAAAGTTGGAAATTGCACGTTTCGATAAATCTTCACTCGTGAATGAATTAACAAATTTATCATCGTAGCACTGTCGAGCTTTGTTTTGATGTAAAAAGTGATGATATACAATATTTGTTCAACGTTTTATATTCCAGGCGCAGGATCCTTGCAATTGCCCATGCCGTCTCCGGCGCAATCCTCAGGACGAATGCAACGCAAGATACTCAGTCTTGGTTCTTCTTTCGGCCTGAACAAGGAAGGCTCCGATTCCGGCGCGGACTCGACTCCGCGCGCAGCCAAATTGTCGCCGGCCACGCTGTCGAGACATCGCGCGGAGAGTTCCGGTTACGACAGTGTCGTCAGAGACAGCGAGACGAGTAGCATTGCCAGCGACTCGTCCCGACAAACTGGCGCATTGCAGGAACATCAAGGTAAACATCAAACATCTCAGCTTACGATTGTGCGCAAAAGCGTGCGATTGATATCTTTTCCTAGCTAGAGAGATAACAAAATTGCTTACTTCTGCTAATAATGTCATAGACATCTAAAGTAAATTGTCTTATTTTTCCGGAATTGGAATCGCTGTAGCATCTGAAGAAATTGCTTCCATTAAGAGTAGAACGCAGGAAATAATCTGAAAAATCCCTCCGCTCTTCCGTACACGCTATCGTTACAATTAGTCGATTATTCCAGTTCGCTTCGCATGAGAACTTTCTCGTAACAATCGTTATTTATCCCACTGTAGTTGAACTAATCTATTCTACCTTCTTCTCTCTCTTTCTCTCCCTCTCTCTCTCTCTCTCTCTCTCTCAACTTGCTCGATAGTGCCAATGCAAAAGTGCCGTCTTAGCTGAGCCAAGTGTCCAAAGCACGAAAACATTGCTCAGATCCTTCGCATTCCTAGAAAGAATACGCAGGCCCTCTAAAACGACCCCGCCGTACGGTGATTCTCCTCAGGTGGCGCGCTGGGAGTTCTAACTTCGACGTTGTGCGGGTGTTTCAGCGGTGGAACGGCGGGCGGCAGGGTACGGGCCACGGCGGTCGCGGGCCCACTGCCGGGCCCAGCCGGGGCCGCCCGCGGTGGCGGGGATACTCGCGTACACAGGCGAGGACGTGGACATCCTGGACAGGCGCGCACGGCTGCGCTCGGATCCACGTGGCACGATGTCCAGGATACACAGCCTTCGCCTGCGCCAGCGCCTTCTTAGGCTGGAACTGCGCGACGCTAAAAGGCGCCTCATGGTGCCCGACACTCGCTGGAGTTACGATTGTAAGTTTCGTTCTTTCGCGATAGGTACCGCGGTAGACCCGAATAGTTGCGAGTTATGCGTGCCAATAATTTGATCCCTTCCTTTGCTAAATTTTGTCACTCTACTTTCGAATAAAATTGAAGAGAATATTTCGTTTGAAGTGTTGTGTTAACATGTGTGTGAATAAAGTAATTTTGTTTCTCGTTGTTTTCATTGGAATAATTCTCTAGTGAATGAAGGTGCCAATCGTTATTTTCATCATACATAATCTTCCGTACTGTTCGCTTTATCCTGCTTATCACAATATTACGGTACGATGCAGAATTCACCAAGGATTTAATTTATTTGTGTCGTTGCATCTATTAACAACAGGCAATTGCCTGCGCAGCAAACTGCAGTTAATGATACGCACTTACGAACACGTTTCGTTGTGTTTGTTTGGAACAGTGCACGTGGAGGACAGTATGGACTGGCGGGATCCGTCATTCTTAGAAGCTCTGACGGTCGAGACGTGCATCCTGCAAAAAAGGGTGGAGGCCTGTAAGAGCCACGTTCTCCTGGTCACCTGCTTTGATTCCTGTCCTCAGCAACAGTACGCGCGGCATGCCGTGACGTCGACCGAAATAAATACCACCTAACGTAGACTCAGATCAGCACGCACGACCGCGTGTTGATCACCGAACCCGCCCACCCACCTACGAATTTAATCGTTGAAACGAGACGAGCGAGGTCGCCGAGCGAGTAAATTAACGGGGAATGGCGTCGATGTCGCTCGACTCCGTCCAGTAGTTGTTAATGATATTGTGGTATCGTCATCGTCATCGTACGTCGTCACTAATTGTTAAGCCTAAACGGTACTGGCAAGATTAAACGAGGAATATATAAGAGCCTAAGGTAAAAGATTTTCACCGAAGTATCGCACACGTACACGCACACGCACGTGTCTTATCGAAGTTATAAGAGTTTATATCGGTAAAAAGGTGTATTCGTGTTAGAGAATATTGCGATCGCTTCAGTCTCAACGATGTTTCTCAGGATGTAGGACGGTGATGTTAGGCAATTATTGCGATTGTTAAATACACAGCGACACGGTTTCACGTCGCGTTTATATCAGCATTAATGGTTCGACATGAAAGAAAGAGAGAGAGTTGGTGCTTTGTTCTTTACGTCTATTATTCGTCAGAGAGTCGTTTAAATCACTATGTCATCGTCTGACTGATGCCATTAAGTAAGCTATAAGAGAGATTTTCGAGGGGGTGTTAAGACTGCCGGCCGACCGGCCGAATACTGCGTATTCAGTGGGAACAGCGACGAACAAAACGAACCGACGAAGCCGTCGTGGTGTAGAGAGATATTCGTCTCAATTTAGAAACAATACGACGCGCGTCGATATTCGTGACCGTCGAGCGAAGGGAGTAACAATCGACCGCGGACTGAAAGACAGTCTAGTGAATATCGAGAAAGCAGATCATGAATGATTGCGGATCGTTCGTTCGTAGAGAGTGTCGATTATTCATCGACACAATCAAGGTCGGCTACAATTTCAGTGGCACAGTTAGCCACGGTTGATGAAATTTTCCTTCTCTATCCATGTTATCGCTAGAGCTGTAATCCAGACGAAAGATCGACGAACGGTGTCCATTGATCCTGGATTACCGTTGGAAATGACTCGATGGAAGTTAGGATATTAGAGGTAGATGCAAATTTGTTTATGAGAAATTCGAGCTTCGGTGTGAAGGGGAAACTAGACGAGGGGGACGAAACGGGGAGAACAGTTTGCCGCGAGCGAGCGAGCAACGCACTGCCAAAAGAATGAAGGGAAAGATCTTTTATACGATTAACAATTGATTAACGAAACGCGCCGTACGTAATGTATCTAATGCACGCACGTTAATTCATGGTATTATCGTAGCTTTAATCGTTATCAGCAGTTACCGCACTTCGTAGGGCTCTGTAACTCACCTAGAGAGACGCGAGTCGTTCCGATGAGGGAGCGTGAAAGCGAAAGGAAGAAAGCGTAGAATGAGAGAGAGCGAGAGAATGAGAAAGTGTGTGTGTGTGTG